ATTTGCAAAGTAATCAACTTCCATTATCTTTTATTAATTCAATATTTGTCACAAAAGTATCAACTAATCCAAACAAGATTGCCTAAGCGAATGGAATTGTTTGACACAAAATAAAAATGACAAACTGTTTCATTTGTTCACATCCCAAACAGCCTGTGCGCTTCTGTGAAAGAAGGAAACACATCGGCGACGGCGTGAACGAGCGTGTTCCACTTGTCCCGTCGACGCTCTCTTCCTGTTGCACTCAGTGCTCATCCTCAAAGTCCGACACTGCGTTCATCAATCAGTCCGCGTCTCCGCGTGCTTCAGCAGCGTTTATCCCCAGACTGAGGACCGCCGTCTGACCCAAACAACCAACCAACTTAGACTGTCCCCATCACAGAGGCCCGGCCCGGATAACGTTTTGCTCTCCAGTTACTAGTGACTAATAACACAGTGGAAGTGTGGGGCTGTGCTCCCGACAGCAGCCTGATCCCCAAAATGTTCGTAAAAATGTGTACGAAAATCTTCAACATACAAATTCGTAGTGATACATATTAAATAAATACGGACTGCAACTGATGACGTCACCCTGTTCAGAGTGAACGGGGACCTGCGCCCCGTAAACACACTTTGTGAAGTCTAACCATGTAAAATAACGAGAAATCAATGTTAGCTTGTAAGAATAGAATACTAACCCTAACCCCCTCAAAAAATCCAACATGGCGGAGAGACGTTGTCCGCCATGTTGTTCACTCAGGGGGCGTGGTTAACCACCGCCACTTCCTATGTATTGTTACGAATGTTCCAGATTTCCGTATACATTTTTACGAGCATGTTTTGTAGATCACGCTGCCTGCAGAGACGTGATCGATAGCGTAGCAGTGAACTTCGTGTCTTCTTGTGTTTGGGAGGTGAGGAGCTGTGGAACTCCAGCCGGTTGTGGTGTCACAATGAGAATAAACAACTCGTATTTATTTACAGGATGGATGACAGAACAGATCCTGATGCCCAGATCCGGAGTGAACACATTTGAGAAGCAAATTGCATTAATGAACCTATTAAATAAGTTGAACTCCAGTGTTTGTACCAATGTCTTGTCCTCGAGTTGGTTGGTTCCCTCGAGCGCAGCTCTTCATTGTGACGGTGTGACCACGTTGTCTCATGCACCCACACTTCTTGTTGGAGGAGATCAAATTGTATCGCTGCCGGCGTTTGAGTGAAGAGCACAATTAATTGAAAGTGTGAGTGATATGTGGAGACAGCTTGCAGTCCACGAGGGACGAGGACGGAGCAGACGGCAAAGCTGATGTGTTTCTGACACATTATTATCTGTATAATAGTTTTCCTTTCCAGCAGTCGGCGTGACTCAGGCGACAGCAAACACCGGTTGCTGTGGGGATCCCGTTCCATCAGTCAGCCTAATATCATACTTTTACTGTGATTCCCCCCCTCTACTTCAGCTGCACTCCTATCACATTTAAAGTCGCTATGATTGAGTCCCCCCGTTGATGGCACATTTCTCATTTAGGTTAAATCAAAGGGACGTGGTGTCAGACCTAACCACCGCTCATTACCATCGGCGCAGGAGTACAGGGAGCAATTCACCTGTGGAGAAGCGGTAATGCTGGATGGAAATAGGCCGAGTGGGAGCTGAAATGATATTTTTAATTATGTGCCACCCCTCCCACTGTTCCTGTGCTGCACGCCCGACGCTCCGACGCCCAAAACCTCATTTCAATACTTGCGTCTCATCAGACCAGAGGGGAGGAGAGCGCGCTGAGCGTCTTCACACAGCGGCCAAAACAAAACAGCAGCGCTGCACAAACGTGACATCTTCCTCATTCTGCTGCTCGCTAACACGCTCTAAGGCTTCAATCAACAGCTTAATTCTCTGCTACCATCTGGTTTGCACTGCTTTTCATGATGGAGGCGCACGAGGCTGAGGGATCAGGTGTCACAGGCGACGGCCAGAAAACAACACAATTAAAAAGACATATTGCAAAATTAGGTTTGAGCATCATACTCGTTCCCACCGGGTCCTCCGACCAGTGTGAGTAAACAAGGGCCTGAAGCATCAACACAGATTTCATTTACTTGTATAATGATACATCAAACGGAAACCTACGTAAAATGTTATAGAATTTAGTGATTTAACGTATTTTTGGATAATAATAATAATGTTTATATTCTAATCAACACTGCGAGATCAGATAATTGAATAATGTGTTCATGAAGATGTCAGAGACACGTTTTTCATAGTGCAGTCCACTATAATACTATATTATACTACAATACTATAATACAACAACACCCGCAATGATATAAGTGAGTGAACACAACACAACTAAGAAGTACCAACACAAACGGACCATATGTGAGGCGGCGTTTATTAATTGTGGCTGAGCCATGTTACATTTTAGAGGTCTTTTTTAAGTTACGTGGTTTGAGTACTCGATATACTAGATATCACGTAGAATAAATAAATATTCTGAAGGATTTTTACACCTTTTATCTTTGAAGTTCAGGCTCACTAATTTCTTATTACTTTACGTCTGACCACTGATTTCATGAACAGGAACACAGGTGAGTAGTAAGTAGACATCTACAATTAACTCCATGAACAACGAGACGAGTGCAGGAGGGCTGGTGGACGTAACGCGGCGCTTTACGCAGGTCAAGAGGTCGGACAATGCATGCAGTGATGCTTGTATTTGTATTGGACGATGTTCTGCAGTAACAGCGAGTATTTAAGAGAAGAAATGTATCGTTTATTGGTGGAGGACAGACTGTTCACTGAGTGTTGTGCAGCGCCCCCCAGAGGGGGCGAGGCGGAGACGCCGGTCGTTAAAGGTTGTGAGGTGTCCGCAGTGATGCTTCCTGAGTCTGGAGGTGTTTACGTCCTGCATGGAGGGCAGGCAGACCACGGCCACGTGCAGTCCTGCCTCCTCCAAACCACACAGCGATGGGGGATTGCAGCGCATGATTGTACCCGCAGCCCCTCAGATCCCCACGAAACCTGTCGCATACATGGGGGGTTACGTTTATACTGATATATTGCAAATACAATTTCCTCTTCACCCAAAATACAAACTGTTACTTATTTGATTTCCTGTACTGTTGTAAATGTTTATTTAGCATTAGTTTCCTTTTTGGATCAATTTATAATTTAAGTGTCCTCAATTATACAAAGAAGATAACAACATTCAGACATCAAACAAACAATGAGGCAATGGACAACATACACACAAATTACCCAGCAATCATCACTGCATCGCTGTACATGTTTACTCAAGAGTATTTCATATTTTGGTTTGTATGAATTGAATTGGTATGCAGAATATATTATATTATATTATAATAATACATATATATTAGTGTTTATATAATATAAACACTAATATATATATATATATATATATATATATATATATATATATATGCATATATTAGGGCTGTCAAAATGAACGTGGTAATCTACAACATTTTGTGGCTGAGATTAATGTGATAAAATATTTTAACTTTATTTCCGGTGACACCAAACGTGAGTTAGACGGGAGAGACGGACACAGAAGCTTCTGCATTGGAAGTAAAACAAACAGGCTTCTGCATTCTGCAGAGGAATTCCTCCGCCTGTCAAACAGGAGAGAGGCAACGGAGCACTTTAGCACCGATGGTGTCCGGAACATGTGGGGAGATTGTTGGCACTTCAAGGAGAGTTGACAGCAGAGTCATTAGTTCAACATGTTCCTCCAAGATGATCACATGTGAAAGGTTTGGTATTTTAAAGTAAACAACAACGCATAAAATACACGTTTTCTAAAGTCATTTCTTCTTAATTGATCAGATTTAGTCTTTAAAAGAAAAACAAAACTTTTAATCACGATTAATGAATTTAAAAATGTGAGATTCATTAGTTAATCTATTGACAGCTCTGACAGCTCTCATTGAACAGTAAACCTCCTCCGCAGCAGCAGCAGCAGCAAAATGGGCTGCGAGCTTCTCTCGTTCCCCCACAGCTTCCTGGTCCTGGAGAGTGACAAGATCCACACGCTGCAGTAGCCCAATCCAAATGTCCAAATGTGCTGTTGCTGTCCCAAACCTCCCCTGTACCCTGCAGGATTAAGCTAACTGTGATACATGCATGTTACAACAGCCCTGTCGTTGGTAACATCTGTAGTTTTATTACGTAAACGGTAAATCAACAAGTTAACTGCATTAAACCAACAAAGCAGAGAGGCGTGCTGTTATGGCACGTCTCATCTCGCCGCTTCTCTGGCAGATTTGCAGAGTTCAGCAGCCTCGTCTTCAGCTAGTTTGCAGGGCGCAACCGCAATGTTCTTTATGAACTAATGATGCCGATATGTTTGTTTCATGCTTTTCTTTGCTTATAGCTTCTCAATCTCTACATACTAACGCCCTCTCCACACAAACCTTCGACCACTGTTAACACCGCTGCCTTTTTACATGTCTCCGCGTACGTGCTTAAAGGAAGACTGCCTGCTGGGTGATTCGGCTGCTGTTCCAGTTGGGGAAACACACATTATATAAATCCCTGGGACGGGAGGACACAACCCAAGAACACCAGAGCGTTTCTGGCGTTCTAGGTATTGAAAAACGACCAGTGTCTCAATCCAAGGGCTGGATTTTTGGAAGGTCCAGACTCTGCAGCCCACGTGGGCCGTGTCCTTCGAAGACCGCCATGGCTGAGCTGAGCAGTCTCTTTTTGGGGCATTTTCCTCTTCTGCTCCCGTTGCCTAGCAACCTGCGGCGCTTGTAGCCCGAAGGCCTTATAACCTGAGAAAGCTGCCACCTGGAGACAGTAGATGAATGTTTGTGTGTCAGCTTCCTTCCCCTGGATCCCTAAAAGACATTTTAGTTAGTTTATAATCACACTACAAAAACTGTTGCAAAATAGACAAGTTAATTTTATTTCTGTAGTTATTCACAACATGTATAACGTTATTGGACTTAGAAGCTGATATGTCAGTATTTAAGGTTCCTAACTGGCCTACTTAAGCTCACTTTGATGCACTTCTGTTCGCTATATTATATTCTATACAACTGCCATAACCTCAGCACGATGTCAGTCAGCACTTGGTAAGAAATGCACGTGGGCACCCAGGGGAGACGTTTAGGGGCCTTTCCCTTTGAACAACAACGTGAGACACGTGATTCGGTCGGTCGCGCGCGGCGGGTGAAGGTTCACCGGCATGGCTCCCGCGTATCAGGTGACAACGTGGGCAAAGCTGCAGCCAGCGAGCCGCCTCGGACTCAAACCCAGCGAACGATGCGAGGAGGAGCCGCAGGCCGCGGGGCAGCGCTGCGCGCGGAGGAGCCCGGGGACGAGGACTCGGCTGCGGCGGGATATTACGACGACGCGCCGGGCGGTGAGGACGGAGGTAGGCGGTGCGCGTCAGCTGACATTACTCCTCTGACCCAGTTGGAAGCAGTTTGAAAGACTTATCACCAGGCACGTGCGCAAAATGATCCATGGCATTAAATATAATAATACCGAATAAACACTTTAGGATATGTTCAACCTATTTATTTATGTTAACAAACCAACTGAAATCGCATAACTAAATGAATAACGGTAAAAAGAGACAAAACAAGGCCATGTTGTACTTTAGCAGTAAGGCACGAGACGCTGGACCTTATCTGGGTGACAACCTTCAAACGTACTATTTATAGTGAGTAGTTGTTGTTGCCAGGCAACAGAAACTGCATCGGGGACGTTGCGTTTGTTTGCTGGTGATGAGCCGGAGATCGCCAGTGATTCCTCACACGTCTCATCCGTCCGTACCGAAACCTTTTGCGGCGTTTGCGGGGATTTTTCAGCGATCGCTAAAGACTGAAATGACTGCTGGTCCCTGTCCTTCTGCTTCTGAGTGTCCCCTTTCTAATTATGTGAATGAGATCAATCAATACTGAAGCACAAGCAGCATTACACTAATAATACACCTCACCAGACCTTTCATTTCAATAATTGAATTCAAATTAAACCTTGTCTAATCTGTAGAGCAGTAAAACTGCCTTTCTGTCTGTCTCCCTCTCTCTTCATTTAACATAAATAACATCAGTAAACAGCTGGACAAGGCTTTAAACCACAGTTTGTCATTTCTACTAACAGGGAGTCTGCTGGAGTAGAGAAACCAAACATTTCATTGACTTGTTGTACATTACCTTTTGACATTACTCAACATTAGTGCTGTAGCAAGAATGTGAAACACGCTCACAAACACATTCCACAAATAGACGGGGACATAGACATCTTGGTACGCCAAGATCTGCTCTCGTTTGGTTGTAAACCAATCCCTCTGTCATGGATATTCCACATCATGATGTTACCACATCTTCCACCTCTGATGAGCAGGCGCACTGAGTGACTCTTTCATGTCTCTATTCCTTTGCTGCGTAGTGTTGGGCTTCAGCGATTCTCTGAATGGAGAGGTGAAACCTCGTATACTGTTGATGGGCATGAGGAGGAGCGGGAAGTCCTCCATCCAGAAAGTGGTCTTCCATAAAATGTCGCCCAACGAGACCCTGTTCCTGGAGAGCACCAACAAAATCTGCAGAGAGGACGTGTCCAGCAGCTCCTTTGTCAGCTTCCAGATCTGGGACTTCCCAGGCCAGATCGACTTCTTCGACCCCACCTTTGATTATGAAATGATATTCAGAGGCACCGGAGCGCTAATCTTTGTCATCGACTCACAGGTCAGCCTGCACACCCGTCAGGAACGGAGCCGATAGAAAACTAAAAGTGTTTTCAGTTGTAGTTAAAAAGGAAATGCTTCCCCGTGATAAGAGCAGAGACGGATGGCTGGCTAGTTAGCTCGCCCCAGCAAGAATCTAGGGTTAGGGGTCATTAGACCTACCAGCCTGCTGGGGGCCTGATTCTTCTCAGTCAGTCTAGCATTAAAGCTGAAGGTCATCCAGCCAGCTAGCCAGCTTGATAATCTTGGAGCTCTAATGCTACATTGGCTGCTGTAAATGAGCGTAATATGATCATTCTCCATATATTTGTAGCATTTCATTGAAAGATTCAGTCGGACTTTCTCATATGATGATATGATGCGTGCACAATGGAGAGAAGACTAGCGGGAACGCAACCTGTAAAAAACCCTCTGCTCTTCACTTACTTCGGTTGCAGTTGGTCCTGTGCTTCAGTTGAAGAATGAAAGCGAGGCCCCTCTAACTACGCCATCTTTATCTCTCCATTGTCTTCAAAAAGTGTGTACTAACCTTGTAGTAAGGAAATCGGAGTAGGCCCACACAGCAGTAGACTGCTGCACCAGATCTTTTATTTCTTTATTCACCACCACAACTCCTCCCCATGATAGCAAGACTTAATTACTGGAGGAATCCTCGACTAAAGTTAGGCTCATTCTCCGATGGAGCATTTAAAATCAAGTATTCATATTAAATACACACCTCTCATAGCACAAACACGCACAGCAGCCCACATATCTTTTGAAATGAGATATTGTGATCCACATTGTAAACGTATCGCACAACCCTCACAGCCACAAGCAACACTGTTGTTAACAAAAAAGAGACAAGCTGCCCCCGTAACCCTCCCTTCAGAGTGTATGCTAATCTATTCTAACATGGAACATGATGAATAATATGGCACTGATATGAGAGAGGTGTCAATCTTTTAATCCCAGCTGGTGCAAGACAAGAGGTAGAGGGGCCGCGTGGTTTCTTCTCACGCAGGTCACAAAAGTGTCTTTTGTTAACTTGGATTCCGAAGAGTAAAACTCATGTGTCGTGATACCAGAACCCATGAAAGACCTGAAGCTGTGTGACCCCCTTCCTTTTGTCGCGGCAGGACGACTACGTGGAGGCCCTGAGTAGGCTGCATCTCACCGTGACCCGGGCCTACAAGGTCAACCCGGAGATCAACTTCGAGGTGTTCATCCACAAAGTGGACGGCCTGTCAGACGACAACAAGATCGAGAAGCAGCGGGACATTCAGAAACGGGCCAGCGATGACCTGGCAGATGCCGCCTTGGAGCACATACACCTGAGGTGGGCTTCCCCATTGAATGGATAGTGTTCTACGAGCTCTTTTATTCTCTAGATATTATGGATATGTAGAGCATGCTGACTGCTAGAACCTGAATGAATGGACGGTGCCGGTGTTGATTACATGCTGAGACGTCCCATAATAAGGCTAAAATAATACAGGGATCCACAATGAGTGTTATAGACCCACTACTAGAGGTGTGAATCTTCACTGGCCTCGTTATTAACCCCATCGAACATTCAGAATTCATTGATTCCTAATGCTTCTGTATGTGTCCGCACTACACTACCTCTTCATCAATGCACAAGCAGTCAGATAAAGCAGCCTTTCATGATACATTAAAGAGGTCCACATCTTACCAACAATCTGTATCTGTGTAAATATTATAGGAAACAATCAAATCGTGCAGCAGTTTATAATTGGAATCCATTCTGACGTTCTTTCTCCCTGATATCTGCAGCTTCTACTTAACCAGTATATACGATCACTCCATATTTGAGGCTTTCAGTAAAGTGGTCCAGAAGCTGATTCCACAGCTGCCCACGTTGGAAAACCTGCTCAACATCTTCATATCTGTGAGTACTGCAACCAGGGTGACCGTACCTTTGAACCAAGGGTTGCTGCTTACTCCACTAATCTGAAAATGTACACAGTCTTTAGTTTAATCTCTATAGAAACCGCACAATCTAATCATCCTGTTGGATTGCCACAAATGGCAGTATAATGTCCAACCACTAGGTGGTAGTGCTGCATAACAGAATGCTGGTAGCAATGCATCTAACACCACCTTGGTACTCAAAGCCAAGTGCATTAGGTTTGGTAGACCCCCTCCCAACCTCACCCGGCCCCTCCCTATGAGAACCAACAGCATGCATGCTGCTAGGGACCCAGGGCTTATTCAGGTCCAAAGAGAGATCTTCTACTCTGGGGGGCGTCGTGGCGCAGGGGTTAGAGAAGGTGTGCTGGGAACCACAAGGTTGGTGGTTTGGATCCCGGCTGCCCCATGCCCCATGTCGAAGTGTCCCTGAGCAGAATGTTCCGGCGCAGGTTCATCACTCCCCCGGAAAGAAAGGCAGCTCTCTTCCTCATTGATGAAGGATCGACATCAGTTAGATTAATGTTTTATAGGGAGAGACATCTCCAACTCTCTCATACTGTCACACTCTGTACAAACATGTACAGAGTGTGACAGTCTTGCGATGCAGAGAACATCTGGAAAGCCGCTGCATGTCGTGCTCTTCGTAAAGTTCTGTTGGTTTATTTGGCGCTTAATAAACTTCTGGATGTTCCATGTTTCACTGCTGTTATATGTTATTCATAACAGATATATAATGATTCTCACACACACATTCACACACATGTAATACAACTCCTAGTTCTACATGGTCATCTACACACATATGATACACATTCTGAAAGATTAGAGGATAATTATTCTCATCGGATGATGATGCATCAATGAAGCCTTCTCCAAGCAGACACATTTAAAGAAATGTAATCGGATTGCCTGATGAGGCACTTACATTTTCCCAGCACATTCAACTTGTGTGTGATACTGTGGGGCTTGTAGCCTCCAGGGGGCGCTGTCAGTCTTTAACATCATTATTTGATTCAATTCATTTTATTTTCTATAGCACAAAATCGCAAATTTGCCTCAGAGGGCTTTACAGTCTGTACACATGTGACGTCCTCTGTCCAGAAACCCGCACAAGTAAAACTCCCTTAAAAAATGAAAAGGCCTTCGATGGGGAGAATAAAGGGAAGAAAATTTTAGAGACGGAGGACGATCCACCCTGGGAGACTGCGATGGACGTACAGAATCAACAACGTAATAAACATAAACACAAATTATTCATTACATCACATGTCATTTATCTGACGCTTTTATCCAAAGCGACTTACAATAAGAACATTTCAATCATAAGGACACAAACTCAGAAGAACAAGAAACAAGAAAGTGCAATTTCCTCAAATAAGCCAAGTTACAATTTGCTGTAGATAAGAACCATTATAAGTCCAATGTAAGTGCTGCAGTTAGTGTGTTAGTGGAGGTAGAGTCTGAAGAGGTGTGTCTTTAGTCTGAAGATGTGAAGGCTCTCTGTGGTCCTGATGTCTTCAGAGACCTCCTTCCACCATTTAGGAGCAGGACAGCAAAGAGTGGAGATCTAGTCGAGTGTTTTGCTCTCAGTGAGGAGGAACAAGCAGTTTATCACATGCAGAGCGGAGAGTGCGGGTCGGGGTGTCGGGTTGGACCAGGTCCTGGATGTAAGCTGGACCCCATCCATTCACAGCACGGTACGTGAGCACCAGTATTTAGAACTGGATGAGCCACCGGTACCAGTGAAGAGAGCGGAGGAGTGGAGGAGTGAGGGAGAACTTAGGAAGGTTAAAGACCAGTGGAGCTGCTGCATTCTGGATGAGCTGCAGAGGTGGAATGGTGGTAGCAGGAGACCTGCAGGAGAGAGTTACAGTAGTCCAGGTGGGAGACGACAAGAGCCTGAATCAGTACCTGCGCTGCCTCCTGAGTGAGAAGAGGACGTGTTGTCAGTGATGTTGGGAGTCTGGGAGAGTCGGCTGTCGAGTGTCACGCCGAGGTTCCTGCAGTCAAAGTGGGCGTTAACACGGAGTTGCCAAAGTGGAGTGAAGTGATTCAAATACACATATTATCTCCTCATGATCATCTCCTGCTCGTCAGCAAAGAAAAAATATGCTCTTCCTTTAAGTTTATTTGCTGTTATACCGTTAAAAATCCGAGTGATCGACTCGTCCGCCTTCTAATGTATGATATAATAATAATGTATGAGGTACACGTGCATGTGCGATTATCCTGATGATTTACATCTGGTTCAAACTAACGAGACAGTTTGAGCGCGGATCCGCCTTTGAGGAACCAAGATAGCCTGATCATTGTTCAGTTGATCGACTTAGTTGAACCATTCATTTTTTTTCTCCTTAGTACTCAGCACCCCATCTTGACAGAAAAAAAAGAAATGTAGACATTTTTGCAAATTTATTAAAAAGGAAAACTGAAATATCACATTGTCATAGGTATTCAGACCCTTTACTGTGACACTCATATTGAACTCAGATGCTGTCCATTTCTTCTGATCCTCCTTGAGATGGTTTAATTCCTTCATTGGAGTCTGCTGTGTTTAATTAAACAGATTGGACTTGATTAGGAAAGGCACACACCTGTCTATATAAGACCTTACAGCTCACAGTGCACGTCAGAGCAAATGAGAATCGTGAGGTCGAAGAAACTGCTCAAGGAGCTCAGAGACAGAATCGTGGCAAGGCACAGATCTGACCACGGTTACAAAAGAATTTCTGCAGCACTCAAGGTTCCTAAGAGCACAGTTGCCTCCATAATCCTTAAATGGATGTTTGGGACGACCAGAACTCTTCCCAGACCTGGCCGTCCAGCCAAACTGAGCAATCGGGGGAGAAGAGGCTTGGTGAGAGAGGTAAAGAAGAACTCAAAGATTACGGTGGCTGAGCTCCAGAGATGCAGTAGGGAGACTGGTGAAAGTTCCACAAAGTCAACTATCACTGCAGCCCTCCACCAGTCAGGGCTTAAAGGCAGACTGGCCAGACGGAAGCTTCTCCTCAGTGCATATAAGACCGTGCCAAAAAACACATGAAGGACTCTGACTATGAGAAATCTCTGGTCTGAGACCTTTTTGGACTTATTTCTAAGCGGTATGTGTGGAGAAAACCAGGCACCGCTCATCACCTGTCCAATACAAACATGGTGGCAGCATCATGCTATAGGGGTGTTTTTCAGCTGCAGGGACAGGACGACAAGGTTTCAATTGCACCGCAAAGATGAATGCGGCCAAGTACAGAGATATCCTGGAAGAAAACCTCATCCAGTGCTCAAGACCTCAGACTGGGGCGAAGGTTCACCTTCCAACAAGACATTGACCCTAAGCACACAGCTAAAGTAACAAAGGAGTGGCTTCGAAACAACTCTGACCATTCACTGGCGTAAACCTAATTGAGCATCTCTGGATGCTGAAAACCTGAAAATGGCTGTCCACCAACGTTCACCATCCAACCTGAGGGAACTGGAGAGGATCTGCAAGGAAGAATGGCAGAGAATCCCCAAATCCAGGTGTGACAATCTCCCCAAGAAGACTCATGGCTGTACTAGCTCAAAAGGGTCTGAATACTTATATTTCAGGTTTTCTTTTAAGAAATTTGCAAAAATTTGTGTACATTAATGAGAAATAGATTTGTTTTTATTTTGTTTTAGCAAATGATTACAATAAAACCGAGTAAAACATTTAAAGGAGTCTGAATACTTTCCGTACCCACTGTACATTACTGAATATCATGGGATTGTCACTCACAACTGGTATCTTCAACCAGCTTTAGAACTGTTGTGGTTAAAGGTCAACTGAAAATGAAAACACAACGTGTCCTAAAATGTCTCAACATGTGTCTACCCTCCCCGATCCTCCTAGAAGTACAAGACAATGTTTTAGACACATTGTGTCTGCCGTGTGTAGGGTAAAGTCATGTCCTTGCCTGCAGCAGGGTCTGCTCCTGGTGATGCTTCTCTTTGTGTCTGCGTCTGTCCTCAGAACTCGGGCATTGAGAAGGCCTTCCTGTTCGACGTGGTCAGTAAGATTAACATTGCCACGGACAGCAGCCCAGTGGACATGCAGACGTACGAGCTGTGTTGTGACATGATTGATGTGGTCATCGACATCTCCTGCATCTACGGGTAAGCCTAAAGACTCTCTTTACCAGCCAGAGGGAATTCTGTACCGTCACAAAACGGAAAACGTCAGAATTAGTGTTACAACTACGATGGGGACTTCTTTCTACCAGCGACTTATACCGTGTCTCTACTTCACTCATTCTTGGTTCAATTATGATCACTTCTGTTTACTAGTTGCAAAAAAACATCAGTCCGCCAACCAATGGGTGGCGTTACTATGCATTTCCCCTTCTTATATCTAGTCCATGTCCGCTCCCTTTTCCATATTAAATCCCTCTTGTAACTGTACGCTTCTCAAAAACTGAATAAAGAAGAAATTAAGGAACAAACCTGTTTGATTTCTGCAAAACACCATGTTTTGGGTTCAAATAAAGCCTCTCCCAGCAGGGTGCCCTGAGGGCCAACCGGTAGTAACAGGCTTCTGTCAGACCCCAGTCTGCTGGAGCTTTAACGGCCCCTGAGTTGGGGCTGAGCGGGCTGAGCTGCAGCGAATCGGGTTACAGATGCGCCGTTTACCGTCGGCGAGGTTGGAGCTGAACCAGCGTGGAAGAAGTGTGATGTGTGGCGTGAAAACATGCAAACACATGCGTCACACGGTGAAACCATGAGAGTTGACAGCCATGTAGCTTTGTTGGCTAGCTTGACGACAACTTTCCTAACAGTCAAACATCGAGCAACACAAGACAAAGACCGCAAATAAGTTACTGGATAGTCCCTCAGAAATACATACATGCAAAATAACCTACAATTTCACTCATGTGGGCCTTTGTGATCATGAGGTCAGAATGCACACAGAATTGTACCAAATAACACACACTTGGTGCAATAGGCTACATGCTGGTGGATCTTGACCTAATTCTTTTTATTTAAGGAAAAATAATTATTCCATGAATTAAGATAAAATATGAATGTGAACTAAACTTTATATGCTTTATTGTTTATCCATTTAGCTGGGCAGGAACAATCTGGTAAAAAAAGGGAACCTTACAGATGTTTTATTTATTATCATAGTTAAATATTCCAGTATCCTATTGGTGGCATCGTAAGTTTCAGTTACCGTAATATTTTGGCAGGTATAGTATTGAAGTCATAATTTTGGTATCGTGACAACACTATCGGCCCCCCTGCTGCTTCTCACGATAACGTTGCTGTTTGTCAGCCTCGAATATCTTGTGTGGCTCAGGATACAGCACAATCATCGGCAGGCTCCATGGGATTTGTGTTTTCTGCCAATAAAGAGGAATAAATGTCAGCCAGTACGGTCAGCAAGTGTTCTGCTCAGGACAAAAACTCAGTTCTGGGGGAGGATGGAGTCTTAAATCCTGCATTCTCTCCACGGACAAACAGGGGGTGACTCTAATGGTTGTAGGGAATGCACAAAGAAAATTAGTCTTTAATACAGCAGTTTTCATTTAGTAAATTATGGTGCATTTAGTCAAACAGAATTGTGGTGCCACAGGTTTACTCATCTAACCCAAATGGAGCTTTCACCTTCCAGCCTACGGTGAATTTCATGCTGTGACAGTTACTCACCCAGTACAATTAAATATTGTCCGTCCTGACCGTCTGTCCAACTTCCCTGAAAATGGCCCTCCGCTCCCCCTCCTGAGCGACTTTAAAATCCAGACAGAGAAGTCATCTGACCTTTTACTTTCGCTCTATCACTCAGTCCCTCTCCTCCCACTCAGATACCCGGCAATCACCTTGACTACATCTTCACCAGAAACTACTCTACCACTAACCTCTCTGTAACTCCACTTCACTTCTGTGACCACTTCTTCATCTCCTACTCTCTTCCGTTCTCTATAACTAACGATCCCATCAACTGACTCTGAACCTGTTTGGACAACATTCGCTGCCTCCTCTGTTCTATCAGCTCTCCCTTCAACTGACTCTTTCTCACTCGTACATCCTCTGCTGCCGCAGAGACTCTCAAATATGTCCTCCTTTCTCGTTCCTCTTACAACACGACGGACTGGAAAATCCCCTCCGGCTCCGTGTCTGTCTGAACCGGTGCTATGAGAGCCACCATGCGAGCGTCGGAAAGGAGACGGCGTAAATATAAACAACCTGCAATGACCTGCTTGTGTTTCAATCTCTTCTGTCCTCTTTTTCTGCTGCCAAAAGCTCTTTCTACCAATCCAGAATTGAGTCCTCATTTTCTAACCCCCAAAAACTCTTTTCTATCTTCTATCTCCTCCAACCTCCTCGAACCCCCCCCGTCCTCCTTCCCCCTCCACCCTTCTTCCGGGAGACTACTATTCAACTATTTCACCAAAATAAAAGCTGACATACACTCCTTTCTCAAACCCATCTCCTACTACTTGTGTCCCACTGACTTCACCTCTATCGCCCTCGCTTCCCTCTTTTTCACCCCGTCTCCTAAGTTCTTACCTTTAGTAACCTCTGCCCGTCTGACCACCTGCCCTCTTCACCCCATTCCATCCCATATTCTACAATCGCTCCTGACCTTCTTCCTTTCCTCACCTGTCTCATCTCACCTCTTGTTATCTTTAACTAACTCTCCTCCTATCTCCATCGTAACAACCTCCTTGACCCCCACCAGTCAGGCTTCAAGGCCGTTCCACAGAGACTGCTCTTCTTGCTGTCTCAGAGCATCTCCACACTGCTAGAGCTCCTCTCTCTCCTCTGTCCTCATCCTTCTGGACCTCTCTGCTGCATTTGACACAGTCAATCACCAGATCCTTATTTCCTCCCTTCAGGAACTTGGTGTCTCAGGCTCTGCTCTCTCGCTTCTCTTATCCTACCTTGACGGCCGCACCTTTCAGGTAACCTGGAGAGGATCTGTGTTGGAACCTTGTCCTCTTACTACTGGAGTTCCTCAGGGTTCCATCCTGAGTCCCCTTCTCTCTCTCTCTACAGCAGCTAATTCTCTCCTTCCCTCCCTCGGACACCCAGGTGGCGGCACGGATCTCTGCCTGTCTGACTGACATCTCTCAGTGGATGTTCGCTCACCATCTAAAAATCAACCCCGACAAGACTGAACTACTTCTTTCCTGGAAAAGACTCTGGCAACTCCATGTTAACGCCCACTTTGACTGCTAGGAACCTCAGTGTGACACTTGATTACTGAGACAATCAGAAGGCGGCGCAGGTACTGATTCAGGCTCTTGTCATCTCCCTCCTCGACCACTGTAACTCCCTCCTGCAGGTCTCCTGCTACCACCATTCCACCTCTGCAGCTCATCCAGAATGCAGCAGCTCCACTGGTCCAGGAGCCCACTGGGCTCCAGGACATGGTCAAACCCGACATCCCGACCCGCACTCTTCGCTCTGCATCTGATAAACTGCTTGTTCCTCCTCACTGAGATCACCACTCTTTGCTGTCCTTGCTCCTAAATTGTGGAACGAGCTCTCTGATGACATCAGGACCACAGAGAGCCTTCACATCTTCCGACGCAGTTTAAAGACCTCTTCAGACTCTACCTTGACTAAAAACACTAACAAATTGTACCAGTTAAAGCCATTACAAGTTGAATTTATCTATAGCAAGTTCTAAATCGGGCATATTTCATGAAATTGCACTTGTTTCTTCTACTTTTTGAGTTTGTATCCTTATGGTTAAAAATGTACTTATTGTAAGTCACTAAGGAAGGGGATACCTTGTGATTGACAGGCTGCTACCCTATCAGAGATGTATGCAACATCTACGTCCCTCCAAGTCCAAATATATACCAGCTACACTCACAGGATGTGAATCTCTTAAAGCCTTCACAGTGATGTGCTGTAACAGCTCTAAAAGGGTATTCTATTGAAGCAGATAACACCTGGTGAGATAAACTTACCCTACTCTCCACGTCCTTAAGTCAAATAAAGAATTTGAAAATGTTTGAAAGACAGAATGATGGAGTCCCTTCTGGTTTGCTATCTGAAGCTTTACACATGAGGTAACTCTGTGAGATGTGTGGATGGATCAAAGACTCATAGGTATTAAAAGCTTTGTATGTTTATACTATAACTGCTTTTCAAACGCATCAGGGAACTTGTATTTCCATTGTTGGAAGAGAATACTTGTAGTGGCAGCCCACACAGCTGGGGTTCCCGGGTTCCCTCAACAGATAAAGCTTCAGCTGTTCAAGTGGCTGAAATCATTTTCCTCCTCATGGGGACATACACACAGTCGTTCTTTGAACTGCTTTACTGGATGTAATAGTCCAGAGCAAAATGTGAAGTGAAGCCCAAAGCGCACTGTCTGTGCTACTGATGCCACAGCCTATCCTCACCATTCCACTCGGGTCTCCCCTCAATTATCACTCCAGCTGGGAGTATAATTAGATTCTAATCTCTGTCCCAGAACAGCTTTCAGGAAGGCGCCATGTCAAACAAAAACATATCGACTCCGTCGTAACTGTGTGATGAGGGTCACATGTTGTGTGGTTATGACAGTAACACTGAACAATAACTGCATCATTTTGGTCTGATTTGCCACCAGACTTTAGAGAATAAAACTGTGGGGTTTGGATATAATAATTATATGGTCGTTGAGTAGCAACAACATAACAAAATTAAATAATGACAAACATTTTCATAACGGAAAACCAAAGTATTTGGTATACCGAGGCAAAGCCGGGACTCATCTTCCACTTACTCTTCTTTTTGACTGTTGTGTTGGAATGAAGTGATCCGTCAGGAAGGACATTTCTCTAGAGAGCTGGCTGGAAAAGTGTGGGTAGACCAGAGAGGGTAAGAGTACAAGTTCACATTTAAAATTATATTAGAAGTACTGTTTAGGTACAGATGTCTTTGCTTTTTAGCGGTATAGATTCAGAGATGCATGCTCCTACAGTCACTGAGCAGCCATGTTCTCTATTGGACACACTACCACCAACTGACCATGTCACTGCTAGAATTTGATTCATTGATCAAATCTGAGTGTGACAGCCAGCATTCTCTACGCCGATCTGCAACTGCGAGAGGAGTCACAATGCTACATTTCACAGTCTGTGTCGTCATCACACGGGAACTGAACCAAACAGAGAGAC